ACCTAATATGATAACTCTGATTGTTATGAATGACTATTAACTTGTCTTTCCTTATTATACTAAATAACTTTCAAGGATTAAAAGTTTACCTTACATTTTTAAATGAACTGAATAGGAACGATATCTTAAACACAGTAGAAACATATATACAGTATGTTGAAATAAAAATAACCTTAAATTTGTACCAATATACAAAATGCATACCAACATAATATATTTGAGACTAGTGGTTATTTAAAAATACTCAAAAGTTCTCCCTTTTATCCATCATTTCTATACTACACCCCCCTTTTCCCTTCAGAAAGAGATCCCTAAATCTAATGTCTTTGTTCAGATTTTTTCTGACCATTACCAATAACAATGTGAAATTAACTCCCCTAAGTGATGACAAACATCCATAACTCACAAATTGACCAAAGACCACCTATTCCAACTCTTGGGAATGTGAGGTTCATATTCTATACACTGTTTCATGCTCTGTGGGAGCAATAGCATCTTTAATGGACCCTGAGAAAATTGAGATAATGGTCGAGCCCTGGGACAGGTAGCAACATTATTTGTTGCCCACTCTCAGTGTAATGGGGAAGTGCAAGGCTTATCTGAAGTCCTTGCTTGTGTAGTGTGTGAGGCTGGAGCATCTCAGCTAGCAGCTTTAAAGTTGTTCTGCATGCAGAATTTTGGGGAAATTGTAACAGAGGCATTCTGATAGACTGATTTTTAATCTCCCTGGGGAAGATTGTCCTCCTCAATGACTGGGAATGACCAGACTACTTTGACCTGGGGGTCTTTAAAATGACCCCAAGGATTTTCCTTGCTTATCTCTGGTCAATCTACATTCACTGGTCCAGTGTCAGCCTTTGTCACATCTTCTATATAATCCAGAAGGTTGATGCCTTCTGTTTCATTCCTATAATGAATGTTGTTTCTAGGAATGCTTTGCCTACAATTTCTTCTTAGATATCCTGTTCTACCACAATTAAAACATTTGGTATTTTGATGTCTTCTCAAACCTTTGAATATCTCTTCTCATACCCAAGCTTCAGTGTCATTGTCTTTATACCCAATATTGGCTGTAAACAGGACCCATTCATCCAACGCTGCTGATCTGATTTTTAAGGGCCAAAGCACCTGTTTGCATTGTGGCTTAGAATTCTCGTAAGCTGAGGATTCTGTGAGTATTCACCTAGATTCTAGGTCTGCTACCTTTAATTGTACTGCTCTAGACACTCCTTGTAGAAATGTATTAAAATGTTCTCTCGGTTCCTGCCTCACCTTGGTTTATCCTTTCTCCTGGATCATGAACCTTATCCCAAGCATTTAAAGATGCTGTACTGCATAGATACAAGATGTGTTCATTTTATGCAGCTTGAATTTGTTGATCATCATAAAGACCGCCACCAAGAATTTTATGCTGGGGAGCTTTATAACCTTTCTTTAAGCCCTGAAGTTCAAGAGCTTTTGCTTCTTCCTTCCATAAAGCCTGCCATCCTATTTGACATGAATTTTCAAAGACAGCTGATATTAATTGATCCCAATCGTTAGGAGTCACTCTATTAATCTTTGCCCATGACTCTACTAATTACTTTACATATGGTAAGTGCAGTCCATAAAAGATTACTGCTTCCTTTATACCTTTTACATTTTTCATATGTATTGGTTCTCACTGATACATATTGAAACCTTTTGGCTGTGTTTCCATTGCTGATTTTCAGTAACAGCTACAGGGAAAGCCATAGGTGATGGCATAATGACCTTAGGTAGGTCTTCCCAGATCCTGAAGGGTGGAGGCAATTTTAAGTCTCTTTTCTCCCCTATTACTTGTACCTCTTCTTCTGGTGTATCAGACAGAAGGTCTTCTAAGGCCTATAATCCAGTCACCATTGTTTCTCTGAGTGTATGAACTTCTTGAGCTACATAAGTTTCCAAAAACTTCATTGAATCAGTTAGTCTTTTGTTTTCTTTAACTACGAATGATTCTATGCATTTAATATTCTCATCCTTAGATATTATCTAAATGGCATGTAAACTGTCTCCCAGAAACAATGTTCTATCTACTAGCTTGCCATTATCCTCAGACATGGAACATATGCTGTCTGGCAGTTTTCCATCTGATGCTCCAGGTTTTTTATCATATTATTCGAGTCAGCAAACAAGTAATCAGCTGTTTCTGCCAGTATGTTAATGTTATCATGAATTGCTTCTATTTTGGTCCTTGAAGCAGTGGACACGGAACAAATTTTGCCTTCTAGTTCCTTATTTTTATGTTCCATGTTTTTGCATTCTGCCTGTCAGACCTCCACTGCCATTTTCAATCTTCTGAACCCTTTTTGTTTTCTATGTTTTGCATTCAGTTTGTTAGATATCTGTTGCCATTTTCAATATTCTTAATCAGCTTTTCTAAAATTTGTATGGTTTAACCAAATTCCATATTCCTGATTCTATTCTCAGACCCTTTCTTTAAGGATATTATATGGATTATGAAACTAATCACCATTATCAAGAATATGTACATTGTGGGTAGATCATACTCCTCTTCTAAAACCCCATACTTATAGGAAACATTGTGAGATTATCTGCCATTAGTATACAGTAGTTAAACCTATTTATTACTACTAACTTAAAATGCAAAGAATGCAATAGTTATTTGAAGTAGAAACCTGTATTCTTTTAGTCACAATATTGTAGTTTCACTTGTAGGTCTTAGCTTGTAGTAACTATGTTTGGCCAACAGGTAGGGTAGGTGTACTGCTAATCATGGTCCGCGGTAGATGCTCTCCAACTGACTTGCTCATAATCTGTTAGATCCTATAAATTCTAAGCAAAATTTTGGCAAATTCAAAAAGAGTGAAATTTTGTCCGAAAAGGAGAAAGGTAAATTGTGTGAATCACAGTAACCTATTGAGCCAGGAAGCCGAAGGAACTGCATGAATAGTCTGCTCTGCTGCCATGTGCAAATCAGAGCTCAAACTGCTGGTGCCAAGCTGCCAGCATCACCAGGGAAGCAGCCCTTGGAGCCTAGAAGGTGGGGAAGTGGGCGTGTGTGAGTGCCTGAAAGTCACTCACTGAACCTCACTGAGGAAAGGAACCAGCACAAGCCTGGGGCTATGGAGCAGCAATCTCAGTGCAGCATGGGGGAATGGGAAGTGACGGTACAGACTTCTGGCTTTGTGAAACCTAAATCCCACTCCTGATACCAGATAAAGTGGGTAATAAGATTCTGGGACACACTACTGGCTGATTGAGGTTTATCCGGGGAGAATTCACTTACACAGAAACAGATGATTACCACAGGTTCCTTCTCCAAGGATGTCCTTGGATCTTCTCTGTCCCCAACCCAGAAGTAAAAGAGCACATCCTTTAGGACCCAGACCTAGACTCCACTAGTCAAACCCACATCTGTCCTCATGACCCAATAGACATGGTCAATACAACAAGTGTGGGCAGGGTGGATATTTCACTACAGCACATATCCCTGGCCACTGGTTCTGCACCTCCCTCCAATCAATGAGAGCTGAGTCTCATGCCCACCAACCTGGCCTGGAACTTTGTGTGTCTGTTCCAGCTCTGGGAAGTTTCAGGGTAAATACTGCAACAGGTGTTTGTACCTATTCTCCTGCTACAGAATACAGCTAACTTCTCATAGCAGGGCCTCTTAATAGAGCCACAGCTCTGTTTACATGCACCCCATTTGGCACCAAATGTAACACATCTTAATCTGTCCTGCCAGCCAAATCCAAAATAACAAAAAAAAAAAAAAAAAAAAAGAGACTTCTAGTTAATTATGAAAGCTCAGCCTATAGCTTAGGTGTACTCCTAACTACCTCTTATAACTTAAATCAATCCATTTAAATGAATCTGCATTCTATCATGAGGTGTTAGCGCTCTTCCATCTTGCATATCCTCTTTCTTCTTCTTGCCTCCTGATATCTCCTGCATGCCTAGATTCCTCCTCCTCCTTTTCCTTTCTCTTTGAAGAAATCTAGCATATATCTCTTAACTATGTATTGCCCATTCAGTTTTTTATTACACCAATCACAGCAATACAATTTCACACAGTGTACAAATATCCTAAAACGTTCAGTCAGCACAAAGGGGTGTCCTTCTGAAAGTGGTCTAAACACCTTCCAGGCAGCCCAGCTGGATTTTGTTTCTTCCAGGCAGGAGGACTGGACAGTCTTCTTTGCAGCTTGGCTTCTTGGAGTCTTCTTTACACTTTAGCTCAAGTAGTCTGACCAGAACTCTCAGTTTTTACTGCTTACTCTGGCAGAGAGGGAGCTAGTGCATCTTGTCAGTTTCTGGGACTCCCCAGAAGGTTGTTTACCTTCCAGTTTAAGGAGCTTACCTACAAGGTTGAAATGTTTCAATTTGGTGGCAGTGGTGGGGGGACCCTGTTACACAATAAAGATGTAAACTCTGTTGAATTTTACTTGTGTTCCTCATGGTCTAGACTCTCCACAAGACTGAAATTTTTCAAAGGAAGGTTATAGTTGTGGACCTTTGCAACATTACACAGGGAGAGTCGGGAAAAGAGAATGAAAAATATTATAATATTCTCCTGTCTCTTAATATAGAGATATAATACTGCTAAGCCTTAGTATAGTCTTACATTATTCTAACAAATATACATTAAAGATAAATTAAAGTTGCCCAGTGGCCAAAGTTAAGAAAAATGACTAAAATTAAATTAAGCAAATTATTTAATTCAGTATTCTAAATACTGTTTAACATGTTATCATAATTTGATGTGTTGTCATAATATTAAAATAATAATGTGAAATTATTAATGGGGCAGTTTCCAATATTATTAAATCTTTATAACCCAGGATACATATTAAATTCAAAGCAAATTTTGTGTTTGAATTGATACCTGTGGCTAGAGGTTATCACAGATGTTAACAAAAATAGAATAAAATTCCATAATTACATACTTTCTTTATAAATCTTTATTTTTCTAAATAATAAAATGGTTATAACAATGTTTTTCCCCCGCTTTTTCTTAGCTATTGTATTACTTAAGGGGGGTGAATTTTACTACCCATGATGGAAAAAAAATACAGTGGAATAGGAATGGAGATCTGGAAAGTGGATATTATGATATTCTCAACTGGCAGCTAGATAATACTGGCGAAATCATCTTTGTCAAGGTTGGAGAATACAAATTTCAACAATCAAATTTTGAACTTGTTCTTCCAAATAATTCAGTGATATTTTGGAACACTGAATCTTTAAGGGTTAGTTGGTCTGCCATATTTTTTCTATTTATTTATACAGAGAATTTTCTTTCAGGTACTAAATGAATGCAACGCAGCTAAAGTATTTGTTATATTTCAAATCAGTTTCTTTACTGATGTTGTTTTCCTATTTAGAGTTTAAAGAATCCTTGTTACACCCAAATTCATGACAATTTTAACATAATTTAGTAATGCATTAGTATTTTGTGAATATTTCAATGAAACATAATAGTTTTGTTTTATCTATTAAATGAAGTTGTATTTATATAATAAAGGTGTTTATAGGCAAATCAAAACAAATTTAAATTTACCAATACCACCAAAAATACATACAATGTGTCATATGGTTTTGTATTTTTAAATTTTCTAGGTTTTTGTTTTGTTGTTTCTTTTTTAGCTGGGGGTCTTACTATGTAAGTCAAGCTGTCATTATGTTTGGCTTAGAAAACATATTTTATCAGTCCTATAAATAATTATTTACTCAGATTAAAATGTAACTGATTAACAAATGTTGGGTTTATTCTGGATTTCAAGGTGCATATCAATGTAAAATATAAAAATATAGAGACCTGTGGTTAGTACTGAAATTTCTAAATATAAGTAGCAGGAAAACATTCCAAGATATGCACTCTCTATATTATCTTTTGACCTTCATGATTGGTCTCATGGAACAGACTTACTTATCTTCCTTTCTACCAGCTACTTATGATAGATGTCTAACTATAATAATAATAAAAAAATCTTGGGATGCATTTATTGACAATAAATATCTTTCAGGAGCTGACAATAACTATTAGGGAAATAGGCCTCATTTTAAAAAATAGACTTAGCAAACTGACCCATATCCAGCATGTAATGGTATATTAGTTTGGTCTTGATCAACATGATTACAATGAAATGACATTAGAGTTAGTGAGGCATTTCCACAGTCAATAACAAGATTGTTCTTCAGTAGCAGTTAATTCTAGGCTCCCCATATGGTCATGATTATCTTCTATCTTCACTCACTATCCTTAGTTTCATCTCCTTTATGTAAAGGACACATGTTTCCCTGGAAATACAATTGAGAACTTTCATGGTTTCACAAATAAGGTTTTGTTTTACCTACTGTCTTTGTCTTTGCTAGCTTCCAGAGTCAGTCTGCACAAAACTGTGCCCTCCAGGGACCAGGAAGGGGATTCGCTATGGGGAACCAATATGCTGCTTTGATTGCATCCCGTGTGCTGATGGATATGTGTCAGAGAAACCAGGTAGAGGAGGTCATTTTCTCATGGGCAGTAACACAATTAGATTAACGGAGCATTGTCAGTGAGATCCATGAAATCATTTTATAAAAATATATAAACAGCCTACAACAAAATTCATGAAACCCCTAAATTTATCCAATATACAGTATAAATAAGGGAAAATATTAGTTTTCACTTCTGGTGTCAAAAAAGACTACCGCCATGAAGTTCACAAGAACACACACACAATATACATAAAATGTGAAATATCAATAGATTCATAAAAATTTTAAAACTATTGTTTCTAAAATAGTCTCAACACTAACTACAGTTGGAGAAGAGTCACCCACTTGTCTTAAAGATCTAAGCACTCAGTGGTTGTAAATTTCTCACTGATGCATGGTTCTGGAGTTAATAAGGACACATGCCTCTCTCCTCAATAGACAGGTAGAGGAGAAAGAACGGAAAACATCACTGGAAAAGACCAACTCAAGAAAGTTGGGATTGGGAAGAAATGCTCAATTCCTAAAATTGAAAACAACTCTCAATCTGTCACAGCATCTGTAGACACCAAGGCGATTATCTCATTGCTAATTTTAACATAATAGATAGACAGAAAGAGAGAGAGAGGGAGAGTCAGAGACAGTGAGAGAGAGAGAGAGAGAGAGAGAGAGAGAGAGAGAGGAGAAGAAAGAGGAAAGAAAGGGAAGGGGAGATACCTTGTTCAAGTGTTTAGCTGTCCTGGACTGTACACAGTTAAAATTGACAACTGGATTCTCTTGCAGTCAATTCTCTGCTCTTTCTCAATAGGTCAAAGGGAATGTAATGCATGTGGGGAAGATGACTGGTCCAATGCACAGAAGAGCAAGTGTGTGCCAAAGGAGGTGGAGTTCCTTGATTATGAGGAGGCCCTGGGATTCACCCTAGTCATCCTCTCCATCTTTGGGGCACTTGTGGTCTTGACAGTCACCGTGGTGTATGGGATGCACAGGCACACTCCCCTGGTAAAGGCCAATGACCGGGAGCTGAGCTTCCTCATTCAGATGTCTCTGGTCATCACAATCCTCTCATCCATGCTCTTCATAGGCAAGCCATTGAACTGGTCCTGCATGGCCCGCCAGGTCACTCTGGCAGTAGGCTTTTGCCTTTGTCTGTCTTCCATTCTTGGAAAGACTATTTCACTCTTTTTTGCCTACAGGATCTCCAAGTCCAAAACTAGGCTTATATCCATGCACCCCAGTATTCGAAAACTCATTGTGCTGATCTGTGTTTTAGGGGAGATTGGTGTATGCTCAGCTTACTTGCTGTTGGAGCCTCCGAGGGTGTACAAGAACATTGAACCTCAAAATGTCAAAATCATCTTTGAATGCGATGAAGGTTCTATAGAGTTTCTGTGCTCCATATTTGGGTTTGATGTCCTTCTGGCCTTGCTGTGTTTTCTTACAACCTTTGTGGCTCGCCGGCTGCCAGATAACTATTATGAGGGGAAATGCATCACCTTTGCAATGCTGGTCTTCTTCATTGTCTGGATCTCTTTTGTCCCTGCTTACTTGAGCACCAAAGGCAAATTCAAAGTGGCCGTGGAAATATTTGCCATTTTGGCATCCAGCTATGGCTTGTTAGGGTGCATATTTCTTCCCAGGTGCTTCATTATTTTGCTGAGGCCAAAGAGGAACACTGAGGAAACTGTTGGCGGGAGAATCCCCACTGTAGACAGGAGCATCCAGCTGACCTCAGCTTCTGTGAGCAGTGAGCTCAACAACACCACAGTGTCCACAGTTCTGGATGAGTAGAGTTAGGAGTCCCATGTGACATGCAGAGTTTGATGATGGCCTGGCTCAACCTTTCCTTTCAGGTTGCTTCTGAAGCAGCTGCTTACTACTATGGGGAAATTATTAGCTGGTGGCCATACTAGTGTAAGGTTAATGTCGTGAATGAAATCTCATTCTGTGAAATGCCATTTAACATGGATTAAAATGCCATTTTTTATTGAAATTGAAAACTAATTCATTAGCATTTTAAAGTAAAGCATACAAATAAGCAGAATTTATAAAAATGGTAGTAGCATGTCTCATGAATATTTTTCTTAAATAATTAGTATCTATTCTAGGTGTTTATTGTGGTGATATATTGTTTGTGATCTTATTAGATCATTTATTAAGACACTGGAGATCAGTTTTCAAAGCCAGCCACACTAGTTACCTATAGAAAGTAGGCCGTGGTGGCACACACCTTTAATTCCAGGGCTCAGGAGACAGGCAGATGGATCTCTATGATGAGTTCAAGGCCACCCTGACCTTCACAAGAGTTAACAGTAATAGAGCTCAGGCCTTTTTACCCTAACATTTGGGGTCACACACCTTTAATCCCAGCATTGGTAAGGAGTGATATGGCTGGGCAGGAAAAGGAACAAAAGAAGGAGGAGACAGGAATTCAGAGCCTTTTGCCTCTGAAGATTTGTGGAGACAGGATTGCTATTTCAGGTGGGTAGAGGTAAGATCTACTGGCTGCTTTGCTTTTCTGATCTTTAGCTTGAAGCTTAAACCCCAATCTCAGTCTCGGTGATTTTTATTATTCGTGCTTCAGTTTACATTAAATAAAACCACATGGGCCAGACACAGGAAATCTTTTCTCATCCTGAAATAAATTGTTCTATTTTGTTAGAAGTTCAGCTGTGATGGCTAGGGAGATAACTCAGTTAAGAGTGCCAGCAGCTCTTCCAAAAGACCCAGGTTCAGTTCCTAGCACCTACATGGTGGCTCACAACTGTTCCTAACTGTAATTCCAGGAACCAATCCTGTCTTCTCACATCTCTAGGTAACAGGCTAGCATGTTATACACAAATACACATGCAGGCAGAACACTAATACACATGAAATAAAAGAAATGAAGAAACTACTGCTCTGAAAGCTTCCCTGGGAATAGAAGCTTTAGCAAATTCTTAGAAGATATTTTTTTTTTTTTTTGATGTGAAGGACTCTTCTTATAAGTTGGATTATGGGAACTAAAATCAACAAAATTGATAAATTTTTATTTATAAAATCCAGTTTCTTCTTCAGCTATTAATGAGAACAGATTAGTTTCTTTGAGGCAATATATGATCCTGCTCCAAGTTTTCCCAGAAGAGAATAAGTTGTAACATGTCTGAGTTTCAAATCATTCCTCTACTTGAGAAATAAATACAAAGGGAGTTGAGATGCCAGCCCAGCTGTATGTAGATTACATGGTAACAATCTATGGCAAAGGAGGCAAGTGTTTACCTAGACCAGGGATTAGTATGCAAAACTTTTAAGAGAGATGTTTTTTAAAATAATATATATCGATAGATAATGTACCCTTTGGTTATACAGCTTATGTTATCTATAAACATCTTTTCAGTCTCCTTGACATGAAACTTAATGGCCTCCATGTGTTTATATGCATATGAGTTAAATATGTTGCAACCAGAACTTATAGAAATTTGGATAGTCTAAAACTGCATGTATACATTCAGCTGCAGAGGAATAACAGGACCAAATATGCTGTTTTCATGTGAGCTTAGTACTTGTAAGTACTTGGAAGAGATTTCTTTTGCTGGCTTGTTACAGCATAAATTGAAACCATGATGACTAGCTTATCAGGGAAAGTCATAAACTTATTTACTGATTTTTTTTTTTAAAAAAAGCATTCTAGACCAGATAAATGGAATGGACTTACCTAAATTTTAATGGGAAGTTTATAGCAAGCCTTGGAAAAACTCAAAATTGATCACGTGTTGGAAGGCCAGTGCATACAAGTGCTTTCTAGATAGACATCTATTCATCCATCCATCACTGAATACTTTCCAGCATTCTTCATTATAACCATCATAATCATTAAATAAGTTTATATTACAAGTATGGAAAGGAGAGAGTTTGTTTTCTTTATCCATCATTGCTTTGTTGTGTTTGTCTATTTATTTGGTTTTCATTCACAGGGTTACATTCTAGGAAAGAAAAAATGATTTCTCAAGCCATAGAGCAATATAGAAAATGAAAATCCATATGTCAACTTTGTTTTCAATTATGTGTGAAGCTTATATATACTTGATAATTCATTTTCATGTTCAGACAAAGGTAGAAGATGATTTGTTTGTAATGATGTGGCTTGCTTTTAAATTCAAAATATTTTAATTGCAATGTCATTTTTTCCTTTTCTGACATGTTGAATATTGAACAGATGGTCTCTATATAGTTAAAAACAGAAGCCCATTTGGTTAGTATCTGACTCTACTTTTTCCTTACCATTTCTCTCAGTAATACTGTCTCATTAGTCTTGTATTCATTGTAATGATTTTTCTAATTAGCATTAAATTCAGTAAATCAAAGATATAAAACTTACAAAAACAAAATATTAATCTGACTCACATTTAATGATGATGCTTATGTCGCTTTATACTTTTAAGAGAAATAGGTTAAAATTATTTTTTGCTTATTTGGCATAAAAACATTGTTACAGAACTGGCTAATGGCCATTAAAATGCAAACATGCAACTGTCAAAAGATTATAGTTTAATTTGTAGTGTTTCAATTTTGTTATTAATTGCATATCAAACATAAAACTATTTCAATATAGTTGGAAGATTTTTTGATTAATGTATTATTTAAAAATATATCAAGCATAAGAGTAAACCAGTCACCATTCCAGCATGGTGGGGAGAGAGGCTCACCAGCCCACATCCCTAGCTGAAGAGCTATCGACAGTTAGTGGATTCTGGGAGGTGAGATAATTTTCTTTAAGGGTGAGGACACTGATAGGTAGATCATGCTCCAGGGGATGGTCCCATACCCATTAACATATGGGCAGGACAAATTGGACTCAGATTATAGCAAATTAAGAAGAGTTGGGAGGGGCTATAGGAGTGGAGTGTGGGTCTAGTAGGTATTAGGGGAAGGAAGGGGGATAATATGACCAAAATACATTGTAGGCATGTATGAAATTCTCAAACACTTAATCAAATTTTATTTTGAAAATTATTTCTAGTGAACAACTGAAATCTTTGTCCTCCCATATATGTGGCTTTTTAAGAAAATCTTAATTAGAATTTGGTAGTGATGTTTCTTACTATGTCTGAACATTTGCTTGTAGCTCATGATGGGCCTTAGGGAGAAGCCTGGATAATCTCAAGGTATAACATCCAAATTATGAGGTTGTTCTAACAAAACCTTCAAGACAATATTACCTGATATATATGGGTTCTTTTGGTAGATGGGATGTTTACAGCATAGGCAGCTTAACCCCCACACCACAAGAATAACTCCTTGTTCATTAATATTGTTAATTAATGACTAATTTATAATGATAAAATTTCTGGCCAAAGGTAAGAAAACCTGCCTTCCTAATTAGCATCCTTAATATACAGTTTTGGCTGCCTCTCATCCTGTTCTTCTGGTTTCATATGCTTTCCATTGTCAATTAAATCCTGAGTCTGATTCCTGGCTTGAAAGATCCTCTCAAACCACTGACACCTATTATTTCCAGTGGTTGTCACCTGCTACTTTTCTACCCACATCCTTGTAGCACAAACTAATTAAACTCCTGAAATTCTTTGAACCCACATTTTAATTCCATGCTGACATTTTTCCCTTTTCATTTGGCATGCTAATAGTATTCCATCCATCCACACATCTTCACCATCCACCCTATATCCATATACCCACCCTTGAGTGTTGATGAATACTAGACTAAGGGTTGAACACAGAAAGTTTGCAATGACAAGGCATCAATCTCCATCTTCAGGTACTTGCTGATTTGGGATGGTAAATCATGTACTCAAAGTTCCTGTGTGACGTGATAAAGTTATGATTCTGATAGAGAAGGAACAGGCTTATTCAGGGTCAAGGAAATCTTCTTGAATGAGCTAAAATTGAACAGCAATCCTAAAGGACAAGAAAAAAAAAAGACTAGCCATATTGAGAACAATGAACCAGCCATACATTCTTCCTAGTCTCATGCTTATAACATTGCAGGTGTCAGTGTGACACCATTCCTTTTCTTATTAAAATTACAGTGATGTAAGACTAAGTGTCTCATTTATATCTCTAGCCAATTTGTGCCTCATACTTCCATTTCTGTCTACTATGGCCATGCTACAATATATTTTATAAACTGAACTTGAGACTTGGGAATCAGATATCAGTGTAAGAACCTGAGTGATCAGAGAAGTTGCAGATAAGTGACCAGCAACCTCTCTCTCTCTCTCTCTCTCTCTCTCTCTCTCTTTCTCTCTCTCTCTCTGTGTGTGTGTGTGTTTGTGTGTGTGTGTGTATGTGTGTGTGTGAGAAAGAGAGAGAGAGAGAGAGAGAGAGAGAGAGTAAGAGCATGTGTGTTTTATTGTGCTTCTGCCTGTTCTGTTTTCCTTTAATGAACAGTGGCTTTCTTAGGTAGGAGGACATCCCTCACGTATTTTAACCTACTATTGCAGAACTAAATATTTAGGCTCTGTCAGCTTGCTTGTTGCAGCCACCAACGGATAAAAAAAAGAAAACCTTGACTTCTATCACTCTATAAATGAGAAACTGTATGATATAAGCCTAAACTTCCTGCTGCAGGGATTTTCAGTTCCTCTGTGACAAGTCACACCTGCCTTCCAGGAGCAGGCCCATTGAAGGATCAACCCACAATTTAAAAAAACCTTACAAACAATGAGCCTTGAAGTAATCACTTACAACCCATTCAAATGACTGATCTTAGGAAGGGTACCTACCACCCTGACTCTGAACTTGCCTTGCTACTAGTTAGAAATCTACAGAAAATCTGCCGGGGAATCAAAATA